TTCTGAAAATTGAGAAATACTTCAAATAAATTAATTTTATACATTATGTTTAACTTTAACTTATCATGTTAGCTTGTCATTATGCACTTTAAAAGCACTTAATTCATATGAAACACGATTGACATAACTATCTTACATATGTAATTTAAAAAGTAATTTAGAATTTTTACTATTAAATTCAACATAAAATTAGTTTTAAACAAATATTTGTGACACGTTTACAAAGAATTCATTTATTCGGGACTCAACACAACACCTGTATGTCTATCGGGAGGAACCGGTTATGTCTCTAACAGACTATATGTCATATACTGGAGGACTGTTTGGTCTATGGTTTGGCACTAATGGCAAAGACTTCATCATTTGGTTAACACTGAAAATCCGTTTGTTATGGATTTGGTTTACAATGAAATACAATCAATATTTCACTCACACTATAGTATATGTTATTACAAATTAATGTTGAAATAATAAAAGAAAGCATTTTTAGTTGGTGAATAATTTTAAGCACGGATCTAGATCAAAATTACGATATTGAACTCGTATGAACAGAACAATAAAATAATGAATTAATATAAAGTAGATTATTTCAATTATTACAATTTAAATAAGTAACATATTTAAATATCCTGTTTTATTACTTACAATTAATGGTGTAATTATTTGTTGAACTGTATAAATAATACATTTAATTGATTTTCCAATTAATTCGTGACATACAATTTCTATATGCCAGTATTGTCTAATAAATATAAAATACCTGTATCATTCACTTGATTATTTAAATTCCACACCATTTAGACAAATTAATATATCTTGATTATTTGTAAATTCTGCAAATTTTTAAATAAGTTATTAGGTTTTAAAATTAATTATCCGAAAAATGAGCAAATTATTGTTATGTTTTGTAGTTGTCGTGAGCAGTTACTTGCTCAATTGTGTTTGCAATGATAGCTTGGAATTTGATTCGTTTGCATTGAAGGACTACTGTGTGTCCCCAATAAGACGGACACATCTATTGTGGATAAAGTGATTGAATGCGAACACAACGAAACCAAATCAACCGAAAAGATTGCGTTGGGAAACAAGGTTTGTTAACATATTTACTGTCATTTTTAGTAAATAAATATTTCAATAAATTTCATATTTTTAGTTCAAAGAATTTTTGAAGGATTGCTTTAAGAAAGCCGATGTGAGCGCCTACACCAAAGTGGACCTGGCTAATGATGAACGGAAGCTGATGTTAACACTATATTGCAAACAAAAGTTTTTAGATTGTGGTGCACAAGAGTTTAAGAATAACCAAGCTTTTAGAGACCTCCAAGTACAGATTAACAAGTTGGAAAACAAAACTGAACAGAAGATATATGATGTATGTAATGTATAATAATTTTATTTGTTATATTGATACACAAACTAGTATAGTATTAATATAATTTTCTATATTTATAGAAGTGTCTTATGAATATTTTCAAGAAGTAATATCAATGATAATTAACCTGAACAAACCATTTTAAAATAAGTAAATTATTATATTAATCATGCATTTATTAAATATGTTTTAATAAAAATTAATTATTGATTAATAATAAAAATTTAAGGTGATTAAATTTTTAAATATGATTTGATAAATTTATAAATATTATGCTCAATCAAATATTATAATTTGTAAGATTTATTTTATAAAATAATAAATAATTTTCAACACAAGCATGATTACCCTAAATACTAATAACAATTAAAAACATTACAAATATATTGACAATAAAACTCAATTCAATACTCTTATTACTCTTAAAGGCACTGTTTTATAAATATATCCTGATAATTTAATGACATTATCTATAGATTTGATAAACATTCTGTACTGTAATTCCCTGACAATTGTCAGTACTTGAACATAACCATAATAAGATTACTCAATAAATATTACTAAAAAAATTAATAAAAACAAATATAATTACTGTACAACCAAATCCAACAAATACTTTTTTCAATACTAGAGTTTTGAAAAATATTTATGAGTTTGTTTATTCATTTTACGAATTTATGTGAAATCTATAAAAGATTTATTGATTTGAGTATTGTCAAATAAAAACTATTTCATTTTAAATTAAAGTGCAGTGAATTCATATTAAATTAGATTTTTTATCATTGATAATATGAACCATCATTATATTAATAGTTAGATGAACGTCAGTTTATAATAAAATAACTGGGTTAATTTTAGAAACAGTATAATTATAATGGATTTTATCTGTAAGAAAACAAGGTCAAAATTAAGTATTAGCAAGGCACGTTTAAATTCATTTTATAAGCTTTTACAAGCAATTTATAGAACTAAAACTATAATTATAGTCAATTGCTATCTGAAATATTAATATGATTCTATATTACTATAAATTAAATTAAAGTACAATACATTAAATGTATTTATTTGTTTAAGTACAAATATAATTATTCAATAAACTAATTATCTATGTTATGAATGTTAATTAGTGTAACTAATAAATTTTAAATACCGGTACTTTATTTTTAAAAGTCAATACACGATATATTTATTGAATTTACATAATTTATAATAACTTGATAATTAATAATAAATGAAATAACATTAAATGTCATTTTAAAAATGATTGTCTATTAATCAATATATTTTTATAACTTGAAGAGGCAGTGTATTTTACAATATACTGTAAGTAATTGGATTAATACATTAAAATTAGCATATTAAACACAATTTATCTAAAATCTTATTTTTAATAATTTATTAAGTGTTGTAACACTATTAGAAATTTATAAAATATATCACATAATAATAATACTCCAAATCTAAATGAGAAATATAATATAATAATGTAAACATTAAATTACAAAATAAATTATTTTAATAAAATTATCAGCTTTATAATAACTAAACTAATTTAAGAAAAAGCATCATAATAAACGATAGCATCTGTATAATTCAAATTAATTGTTAAAATAAATTGTTACTAGTATTAAGTATGTAATATATACCTCATATCCACGAAATGAATTAATAATAAATAGTTTCCAACAATAAAATCCCACTCTTTTAATGCCAATCCTTTCGATTAAGTTTAATAACGATTAAATACAAAATAGATTATCGATCGCTTTATTTGTATTAAAAAATATGCTAAATAATTTCACCTTTAATTTCAATAACACATTATTTTTAAGCCTATTACAATATATTGAATTGAATAGTTTGTATGATTTATTTGCCTCGATATAGATTTGAGACGAGATATGTATTATAAGTCAGACTCGACTAAGGAGTCAATCTAGGAGTCAAACTCTCACACGTTATTAATATCCTTCAAATGTTTGGCTCACAAATATTGTGCACACTATTGTGAGTGAGAGATATAAAGTATTTAATGAAAATTATAAACTGTAATTTTTAAATTAAGTATTTGTTTTAGTGTTTATATGTTAAAACATTGACTAA